TCGATCTCACTTCTAACTGCTACCGTCATAGGTTCACTATACATATTGATTTCATTTCTACTGTACAAAACTGTAAACAACTGCGAATTTTACCCAAAGAAATCCATTCCTGTGAAAGTTCAATGGTTAAGATCAGTATCAGATATAATGTGTTGTAACATCTTGTATAATAGTTTTTTGGGGGTAGTCCTATTTCTCTTTCGACCTTATCAGATCAAGGGAATAAGAAAAAAACTTATTTCAGCGAGCTGCTGTGGATTTCTATTGGATGCACTTTACCGCGTGTCTCTTCAAGCCCTCAGAATTTCCCATTCTAAACTTTCTACGATACAAAAGCTTCCACTGTTCTTTCTCAGTTTTGTAAGTTTTTCTTGGCAAATACATCTTGTAACGAATCATTTTCTATCACGACAATCAACAAGGCAGAGGATTACGTTTTTCTTTCAAGTGGCAATTGTTCTTGTATCCCTTGTCATCCTTGCAATTCCGGTGGCCGAGATCATCTACCCAACTTTTAATAAACAAACCATGAATGGCAAACTATTAATCGCTCTCTTTGCGCCTCTAATTGGAGTCGTTCTAAAGGTTACCTCACGAATTTGTGTTCAGCGGCTTCACCGGGATTACATTCATCCGGGATATTTATATGTCTTACTGGCGCCGTTGTTCGGCTCTTCGGCGATAATGTTTCGTGTTTTACAAGCGGATCTCGGTAGTTTACAATACATCGGGATTCTAGGGATAACTCACGGGACTGTGGAAGTAATCGAAAGAAGCGCAATGGTCTTTATTGATCATATTTGCCACTCGATTTGGAAAAGAACAGCCGCTCCCTGGGGAAGTTTTCGCACTCCTCGTGGTGAGAGGCTAATGGCTGATATAACTATTATGAGCATGCTGTTTGAATCAACTGCTATAGTTTCCGTCAACGGCTGTTTGTATTTGTATAAGTTCAATTTCCTTCAAAACACCTCCTTATTAGAAGTGTTAGAGCCTTTTGCTCTAACAACTTGTCTTCAGTTGGTGATTGAGTGGTTTTTCACCAGCGTATCCCTCGCGATCGAGACTCACTATCAGAATATGGCTGTTATGGCTGTTTGGCAAAGAAGATGGAAAAGACATACTTTAATATCATTTACAACTTCTGTGCTCATAGCATTATGGACTAGCACAATTCTGTTAATTATTGTGCATGGAAGATTTAAGGAGTCTTCGAATCAACCTTGTAAGATGCCGTTTACTTAAAACTGAAGAATGAAGCATAGAAAACACCAAGTCTTCTGTAGGTTTACAATCGTTTCGATATAACTTTAGTGAGAGTAGTCACGTATCCTACGCAGCCCATGTATCAAATCGACTCATACCGAATCAACTTCAAAGTTAAATCGTGCCCATAGGTATCTAATATTGAGGTCAAGTTAAGATAGAACTCTACACTTGACAGGATTGTGCGTTTAGTTATAACAGTGCTTTTATCAAGACATGCATGTTGGAAAAACCCGTATAGGTAATGACATAATTATAAAGTACTCAATGTAATACAGAGTACAAAATGAAATGGAGATATTTTTACATTATAATATCACTAACAATAGGTCTCGCTTTCCTTGATAACCTCGGAGATGAACCTTTCCCTACCAGAAAAGCGTTAAATGAAAACAAAATTTGTCGGTTATGGGAAAATTAATAAATAATTTTTGTGAATAAATGGAAAATTGAGTGCTATTAACCTACCATCGGCAACAAAAGTTGTTAGCACATTGACCTTTTCAACCTCCTATTACTTCAGTTTTATCTATTTTGCCCTTGTAACTTGATTCCATGAACCTTTGGGGGGAGGGGTATGGGGGGTCTTATCGTTGATTTAAAGAGTGGTTGAGAAATGACAAATAGGAAAGGTTTGCAGGGAAAGCAGGATAAAGGACGGACGGAATCCGACCTGCACAAGCAAAACCCGCAAATGACTTATTACTTTCCTGTTAACGAGAAAACAAAAGAAAATAAATTGAGAAAATCATTGGAATTAGAAAAAAAATGTGAATTGTTCAATTTCCACTTTTGTGGAATGCATGAAACACAGCCTAACCAAGAATTTCGCGTAATTATATTTTCATACGACACGTCATTCACGTCAGCTTATTTTTGCAATTTTTTTTATCAAGCGAAATTTGCGAAATTAATTAATGTGTAGTATTCGTTTCATAGAGCATAATTATTGTAGGATACATTAAATCATTGTATTCTTTTTAGAGTTTTATTTTACGTAAAAGATTCGGCAAGTGACGTAAGTAACGAAAACGAACTTTCTCTATAACAGCTGCGTGACAAAAATTATGGTATGGTTGGAGACAGACAATCCGCACCCCTATCCTGTTAAATTTTACATCTCTTTCTGGTTGAACGTTACTGGGCACTAACATCGATCAGTAAACTTGTAAAATTTTCAGTTCGCTCTACACGCGATTTACGCGTCGAAATGAAGCGAGGAAATAAAGTCTTAACTCGATTTGCAATTCTAGTTCTTTTCGCTTACTTCATGTACCCACGTCTACTTTATAAGTCAATAACATCGTTTACAACGGAAGAAATCAATTCAAATCACCGTGGTTCCGCTCGGTCGAATTTGATGCAACCGAAGCAACTCGAAGAGTGCAATTAGAAATAACCTCGGCGTCATCACAAAATTGTGTCAAACCCTCCATAGACGACTTTCGAAACGATTATATGACCTAGTATCAGCGACAGAAGCAAAGAGGTGTTTTAATTCATTTTCTTCTGGCCATTTATACGTTTGGAGCATTGGCCTCAATATGCGACGCTGGAACAGATCACGAACAAGCTTCACATGGGCTCTGATGTTGCTGGTGCGACTTTTATGGCGGCTGGAAGCCCTACCCCTCCGTTGTTTGCCTCGTTAATTGTTCGTGTTTGATTTGGTTTGCTTGATCAGGCAAAGTAAATGATATTCCTCACGCTCGGTACATTTTCCTTGACCAGGCGAAATAAATTAACGTTTTAGGGAAGGGAAAATGGTGACGGACTCCTATGATTTTTTAATGAATTCTTCAAACATAATTCTGATCCTGACGATCTCGGTCACTTTACCAAAATAGAACATCTAAAGCGGGCATATAAAAGACATTCAGATAGTTCGAAAGGAAACTCAAGACAAAGCCAAGAATAGCGTGACATTTAAAACAAGAGACAATTATTCTAATGACATGCAACAGAGGAATCCCCTCTTGATACAACAGATGGCGATGTGGTTTCCTGGAAGTAACATTTTAATCACTGCAGAGATTTTAAAGGTTGACACCCAAGGAGAAATTTAGAATCTCGAATAAGCGTAATGACGCCATTTTCGTCTTGACATTTTGCTAAGTAAGCACAACTTTGCACATCCTGCAGCAGGGAGTGAAATACTTGCCAGAATCTCATTGCAATTTTTTTTTATTGTTTGATTTACAATTGACTTCCTTTTGTTGAAACGAATTTTGAACTAAAAGCTCCAGTTCGTGTCACTGTAATAAACAGACTTGTTTGACTTGTATTAATCTTGGTCTTAGCAACTCTACTTGTGGTCAAAAGACCGTTCCGCACTAATTTTGAGGAATGAAGCGAGATATAACGGCTGAGGCTTTTACCAATATCTTCAAGTCAAAAATAGAAAAAAGGTATTATCGCCGAAAACAAAACTAAACCGCTACTTTGGAAGAGCATATTAACGACGCTTATTAACAGACAGGCGTAACCGATCACATAAGGAGAGAGAATATTATTCTCAAAAGAAAAGGATAAAGGCAACAGCAAAATAACTCATGGAACGAGAATCAAATCAATATCTAAGTTAAGACCTGTATGTTTTAAAACCAACTTCCAGCAGAAAAGTACAATGGCTTCAAATTTGGTAATACATTAAGAATACAGGACGAGTTAGCTTTAGAAACTCTTTACCGTGACTAATTTAGAGCAACTTGGAACGCTCTTGTTCCAAGTTGTGCGCACAACTTGGAACTGGAGTGTTCCAAGTTGAGCGCACAACTTGGAACTGGAGTGCTCCAAGTTGTGCGCGCAACTTGGAACTGGAGTGCTCCAAGTTGTGCGCGTTCTTCTCTAATAATTTCTTGGTTGATTTATTAGTTTATTCCTTTATTAATCTCCTTTGTCTTCCTTTGTCTCTAAAATATCAAAACAAGTACATAAAACAATGGAATGTGGTTTCGCCAAATAGCATTGACTTCCGTTTCCTTACTGACGTCATTACAACAAATCGACGGTTTTTATTGGCTGTCGGTCTTATTGACTTTAGCACAGCAACACAGGTTCTTTTCAGTCCGGTACCGGATGAATTATAGTGAAAGTCTTGAGTTTAAATCGACTTGGATTGGTATCCGACGAACTTGATAAAATGTCGCCCAAAAAGCTTCTTATTAGTTTAGTATGCGGTGCCATAAGCGGGGTTATCGTGGCATGGCTTGTCCTCAAATTTTTGGAGAGTGAAGGATCTCAGCTAAGAGGAGGACATAAAGAGATGAAAGAACTGAAAGACGAACGAGATGATCGTAATAACCCCGCGGCTAAGCTGCCTAAAGAAAATGATGATAGGCCTGTAAAGAGGGCTGAAGAACATGAAGAAGGGCTCTAATAAGGTTGGCTTTTATTGTATTATTTTATTTCAAATGTCAAATCTTGAGATGGAAACGTGAACATTTCGCGCTGCATGGCCTGTCAGGAATTTTCTTTTAGTTTGAACAACTTTGTAGTGTTTTGTTTCTGCTCTAGGCTCAATTTAATTTGTATATTATGTCTAGCCTTACACCTCACCACGCGTATTTTTTCGTTGTTGACGGCATTTAATTAAATCGGAAAAATATACAAGACGTTACAGTGGTCAAAAGGTCAGACCATTTCCGGTCGTTTGGATTCCTGTGCTTGTTCTTTTATTGTTTATTTTCGTTGGAGATCTGTACATGTGAGATTATGTTTGCGGTGGCCTCAGTGCAGACAGTCTGCAATTAGCGCTCGCTTTTGGTCTGTTGCGCGAGAGGCACGTTTGCCGAGAAGCATATTTGTATAAAGGTCATTTTATTGCATTCTCATGGTCTCTAAATAAAGAGAGAATAAAAACCCAAGTAATACGATTTTTATCTTTCAGTCAACAGATACAAAGAACTATCAAGAAAGAATGTATGCTGTAGCTGGCATTTGCTGTGGGAAACTAAGACATTTAGAATTGAGAACTGTATATGTGTGATACAAATTATTTGTAAAATGTTAAACTTTTTTACTGCAGGTTTTGGAATTTTTAACTGATCGTTAAGTAAATGACACACTAAGTCATGTCAAAAGTTTTAACAATCTAAAAGGCAACCAACTTGATCGATGCTATTTTTATGCAATTGATATTTTATTGTTTAGTGGAAAACTTACTTTGATGCTACCTTTCTTGAAGATTTTTATACCTTCATTTTTAGTTCAAGTTAAGTGATCGTAAACATTGAAGTATTTTTCATTGTTCGCGCGTGATTTGTTTCGTAGACTAAGCTAAGTGAATAAAGTTGTTTGTGCTTGATTTGGTTTGCTTGATCGGGCAAAGTGAATAATATTCCTCATGCTTGGTACATTTTCCTTGGCCAGGCGAAATAAAAGGACGTTTTAGGGAAAGAAAAAAGATGACGAACTCCTGCGATTTTTTAATGAATTGTACTCTTACAATTCTGATCCTGACGATCTCGGTCACTTTACCAAAATAGAACATCTAAAGACATTCAGACAGTTGCAAAGGAAACCGAAAACACAGCCAAGAATAGCGTGACATTTAAAACAAGAGACAATTATTCTAACGACATCCAACAGAGGAATCTCCTCTTGGCACAACAGATGGCGATGTGGTTCATGACCTCGCTGAGAAAAGAATAATTTTTCTTCCCATATACTTTTTGCTCACCGGTCCGAGAACAAGAAAACAACGAGAACATCTTCAAGCTACACATTTCCTTGTAAATTAGTTACGAGAATTTGGTGTTAGATCAAGGTTACAACTTCTAACTGACGAGTTTAAGTATTCCCATCACCTATCTGCTGGATAATGTGTGGATATTAAAGGGAGAAGTAACATTTTAATCATTTCATAAAGTTTAAAGGTTGACAGCCAAGAAGAAATTTAGAATCTCGAATAACCGCAATGACGCCATTTTCGTCTTTACATTTCGCTAAGTAGGCACAACTTTGCGCATTCAGCAGCA